ACCATGATTCTAGACCTTTCAAATACCACGATTCTAGACCTTTCAAATACCACGATTCTAGACCTTTCAAATACCACGATTCTAGACCTTTCAAATACCATGATTCTAGACCTTTCAAATACCACGATTCTAGACCTTTCAAATACCATGATTCTAGACCTTTCAAATACCACGATTCTAGACCTTTTGCTAAATAAAGAAGTTGTTACATTCTTGTGACCCTGACTCTGGGTGAAGGTAATTTTTTCACAAACTTTTTGCATTTCATTCCAAATGCATATTGGCTGCAAATCATGATTCTTGACCTTTTGAGATTTGACCTCTGTGGACTAATTGAATTAAGGTCAATTTTCTATTTCCTACTTACAATATCTCATCAGAGACTTGTAAATTTTATAGATATTGGATACTAAAAATAAAATGTCATTATAAATTTATCTCATTATCATTAGAAATTAGAATGACAATAATAATGTACAACAAATTTGGACTGAACATTTTTGTGCCAAATTCGTCAAAATTTGGCATTGTGCCAAAAGGCTTACATAAATTGTTGAGAAGATTCCTAGAAAGATAGTGTGTAATGGCAAAACCATGATTTGTGGTTTTTTTATTTGATAAAAATGTAACTTATTACCCTGATGTTGTATTATTTGTATTTTAATATACTGTTGTAGTTGCCTTACAGTATTGTAAGATGTGGGTTTTTGTTTGACATACATTTGTATATCTTGTGTGTCAAAGCAAAAAAAAATGTTTTTTAAAGGTTTGCTGAATTTTTATTCTGTGAACAATCAAGGGTTATTTTGAGTTGACCCTGGGGTCTCCTTGTAGCAAGTCTGATGGCTGTCTCACAGAATAACACGACTAGCCAAATTATTTGAGGTGTATCGACTCATTCAAGGACATTAACCATGACAACAAAAGATAACTTGTGGTCTTAGGTTTTCTGTGAAACACGAACTGTTCCCAAGTATGGATTGGAGGATGACAATGACCTCTGACCTTCACCTTAGTCTGACGGCTCTTTCAGCTATTACAGCTTTTCATATTCATTTTGGTGCTAATAAAGGCACATACTGTCAAGTGATCGACATTTTGGTCTTGGGATAAATTTTCTGAACATTTAATTCAATTCCTTCATCTTTGCAGCTCATGACCTTCACTTGAAGAACAATTACATTAACAATAATCATAATTCTCAATCATACATTTTTTCTCAAAAAATTCCATTTTTGAAAATCAAATCATTTCATTGTGATATGAAGATGAAATTTACTGTGATATGTATGAGGTAAACTTATTTTCATTCGTTTGCTGGGTCTATTGCAGGCCACGAACAGCCAGGGTCACTTTGCGGTGGTGGTCTCCCTGTAGTATGGGGAAGGCCTGTCATCTAAAGTAATTGGGCTAAATATTCTCGGCTGTAAGGATACTACCATGACAGCACAGACTGTGTTTCTGCTGACTGATAGACAATTTAATGGAATGAGAAGATTCTCTATCTAAGTGATGACAATTCACCATCAGGCTATTAATAGCTGCTGATATCACCCAAAACACAATGTAATGAACACATATAATCCTCCTGATCAGCAATTTCTAGTAATATCAAGCGTGTGAGTACCAGTTCTACCTAAATGAGAGAAAACCTAGTACATTCGATTTACAGATCAATTTCATAACAAAAGTACTTCTAAAATTTCTTCTTGAACACACCATTTCTGAGAATATTTTACTTTCTTTATCAAAGTGCATAAATATTTTATTTCACGGAAAAGTCTGAAGGACTCAATTATTATCAATAAAAAACAAATTTTCATACAGTAACATCCTTATCAATATCATCTTCAGCTAACCAAATGTATATCCATACAATTCACAAGGGCATTGCTTTCATTTTATTTATAGACACTCCAATCAAACAGTTTTTGTATCTTCTTTATACCTGGTCAGTAGTTCTTGAATATTTAGAGTTTGCCCTTAAGTAATATGTAATTGATAATATAGGGGTGCATTACCTTTCCTTTATCAATCAATAACACTCACCTACACCTTGGTTGTTGACCTCAAATTCAAACATTCTTGGGATCAAGAATAATCATTGTATTCTTTCTAGCTTTAAATAAAGTCACTGAGAAGCTTTGAAAATCACGCTTTTACAAGAGGATGATTATAAAGTGCTGTATAATTGAGATTCAGTTCTACTGAATTGAATATGGAATCTCAAGCCTGACAACTGAATTATTTACTGATATTGGTCTATTCATGGGACAACTAAACCTCTATTTTTCCTACATGGTATATTAAACGGTGTCTACATTTTTCACATGCTAAAGTTTCCCAAGAGTTGTACCAGTATCCAGATCACAGACACCAGCTCCATCTTAGATTCTGATAAAAGGCTGGACTTCTGTCAGATGTTATAAATATTGTATATATGGTTTAAATCTTCTACAAGTACATGTACTTGTACAATCTTTACCTATAATTAAAACATCAACATTTAACCATATTCTTGATCTCTGATATAAATGGACATGTTGTGGTTACATATCAGCTGCTATAAAATTCTTTACCAATCCATGATTTTGGTAATTGTTTAAGTTATTTTCTTTCTAATTAACCCATTAAAAATGTGACCACATAGATATTTAATTATTACTGAATAAGTAAAACATAAGTACCTATGTCAGCTCACCTAACTACCATGCTTGTTAGCATAGTATAGCATTGAAGGTTTTTATGTCTTAAGATTTTCTGCTTTTTTTTCTCTCTGTTTTTTTATCATCTTGAAATCTGATATAGAGCCTTTTACCCTTGTCATGAAAACAACAAATTACAAAATTTCATTAAAATGCCATAAATAAATGTTTGTGAAGTAGTTTGACAGAAAATTCAACAATAATATATGCAGACTTGGTAATTCTCATACTTCAGCCCAGTTATAAACTGCCTAGCTGTGACACTTAAATATTTCAACTTAAACTCAAAACATTTTAAACCAGCTCCTTATTCTGTTTTTGTTCACAACCTAACAAAACAAAAGTAATTTGTACCCATCAAACAAACACATGTACATTTCAATTTTACTAAATATGAAAAAAATAATTTTGTTAATTTTGCAAAATTAGATTTTAAACTGTAATTTCAAATTTTCATTAAGTAGACCAAGCTTTGCTGGTAAAATCTAATCCTCTACTATTACCATATATATTTAAACACAGGACTATTGTGTATATGAACGAATTATAACAGGCTCTCTTTGTAATTTCTTAAAATAATTCAAGGTTAATTTACAGGTGGTTTAAGTTGCATTTGAAAAGGCTATATGTTAGCACATTAAATAAAAACAAAATTGCTAATATAGATTTGTGTTTTTTTAAATATCATTGTATTTTTCAACACAGGTTCAGATGGGAGCACTTTTTGAATGTGTATATTAAACAGGAATACCTAACTATATCTCAAATGTTGAAGTTGAAATGATTTTCAAAATTCCTTCAGGTAAAAGCAAAAATGTCTTTCTAATCAATAGAAAAACAATGACTACATAATCTTTAAAATATCTGAAATAAATCCGAATTATCATAATCTTGTGTATTTCTCTCAATGTTAAAAGTCTTTTTAAAGTGTTGCACTCCTCTTAACATCAAGAGCCATTTCAAAACCTTGTGTTCTCTTGATATGAAGAACCATTTCAAAGTACTGTATTCCTCTTAATATCAAGAGCTTTTTCAACATCTGATGATCTTTTAATATCAAGTGGTATTTTGTATTCCTCTTAAAAAAGATAATTTCAAAGCTATACAAAATGTACATCCCTCTTAATATCAATAGATATTTCTAAACTTTCTATTCCTCTTTATATCAACAACTATTTCAAAGCTTTGTATCCCTCTTTATATTAATAGATATTTCAAAGCTGTGTATTCTTTTAATATCAACAGCATGTATTCCTTTTAATATCAACAGCAATATATTAAAAAAAGTGTTCTTTTTAATATGAAACATTTCAAAACCTATGAGAAAAAACAACTTGTTACAAAGCAAATTTGACATTATATAAATGTAATTTTCTCTCAAATGACCTTTATTTTATGTACGATATAATAGCCATAAATATGACACCAGTTGTACATCAGAATTATGAAAACAGTCCTTACTGGTCCCTACATTTTTCTCTTCTGATCTAAATCTGAATCCTTACATAAGTGCATGCCATTAGGATATATTCATTCTAATATTATATATAATGAGACAACATTTCTGACTCAAATGAAAGCATGTGCTTATTACTGGAAAACAAAAAGGCGGTTAGTTTTACTGAACAGCAACAGATCAGGCTGGCTTCATAGGGAATATATCCACGTCTATAAAAACAAATATCTGTAGAGAAAGTTTTCTTAATTGTGTTTCCACTAATTGATAGACAATTTAATGGGACGAGAAGATTCTCTAAGAGATGACAATTCACCATTTTAATTTAAATCAATTAAACTTGATAATGCACATGTTTATCTATCAAATATTATTTTAATTTTTGTTATAAACAGCCATTCATATTTCTGTTCTCTTAAATATGAACATTGTAAACAGTAAGTAACGTATATATACAGAGCTCTGTCTATATATTTTTTACGAGTATACATTGTCGACTCTATACTGGGTTATAAATCAATTGTGATGATAATCTGAGACATTTACAGAATACCTCACAGTGTACACTTCCTCCTTATACATGAAATAATTTGTAGCTTATATTAGTGCCAGGCTCTGAAACAACTGCCCTATTCAGCTGGATATTCGCCATCAAAAAATTCAAGAATCAAGAGTTTTCATTCACGTACGACAATACAGTTTGCACACCATGATATGTATGCTATACATCATTTGATGATATATAGACAAAATAAATGACACTAATTTCATTACACAACATTTTACTACTTCACCACTACCAAATATGGTAGTTTTCCAAAAACAATTAGGAACCCTACCTGTTTCTGCGATGGTATTCTGTTTTGTAATTGCGTCTGTGTATTTCTTTCGAGCACTAGAAGACATGATACTCAATGGAATTCCATCCAGAGCTATTTGAGGATCCTCCATTGTTACAAGTTTCAGCCACGCTAGATAAACATTAATCATGCAGCCATCGTTGGGTCGCTATGTCTCACAATCTCCTTCTAGTCCTGTTAGCATTGACACTGGTTTTTGGTCAAAATAGTGCTGCCCATCTGATTTACTGTTTTGGCATTGGATTGGAAGTACTCTATGGTACACCGTATACCGTGATGGGCAGGCAGAGTGAGGATGACTAGCGTGGATGTCCAACAATTGATCTTTAAAAATTCCAGCAGACGATAACACACGATCATGCAATACACATCCCTCAATCCCCAGAGTATCTAGTCTTTGTCCCTAATGAGCTTGTCACTAGTAACACTCCTCATGCAAGCTTTCGTCTTTCTTCATTGTCACATGAATTCCATTCTTTCATTTATAATGCATATATTCCAGTAACATTTCACAAATATCATTTCTGTGTTGGTGACATTTGTAATATCCTTACAAGTGCTGTCAATAAAAGGCAATTGTTCCAACAGAGAGCCAGTCTGATGAGGTATTAGGACTGGAATTTCCTAAATATAGTCAGCAGCATGTCCCCTAGAACATGAAAACATCTATTATTATAGCATACATGTCACTTGGATCTTATTACTTTGGCTTATTGATAAAAATAAAACTCTCTATTCCTGCTTATGTAAATGGTAAATCATGAGATAAACAGATGACTCAGGTCCAGTGTTGCTGTGATATCAGGATTTACCAGGTAAGTCAATCATTTTCATATCAAATGCGTTCATTTCTAATAAGGAAACATAAAAAGTCTCACATGCATCATGATTCATTCTATTTCTTTAAAAAATCAAGGAATATGCCTATAGCTATGTAATATTAGGGTATTTTTATATTTTGTACCGAAATAATCGATATAAGGACTTAAAGTGATTCACTACATTGACAATAGTGTGATATGTCATGTAATTAGTTGCCACAGAATACAATATTACACCACAACTGACCTTTAAATAGAATTACTGATACTAAATGGTATAATACTTTATAAGTTATACAGAATGGTTAATCAGTTTGTATAGTTACAGCATGGTTAATCAGTTTGTATAGTTACAGCATGGTTAATCAGTTTGTATAGTTACAGCATGGTTAATCAGTTTGTATAGGTACAGCATGGTTAATCAGTTTGTATGGTTACAGCATGGTTAATCAGTTTGTATGGTTATAACACAATTAATCAGTTTGTATGGTTACAGCATGGTTAATCAGTTTGTATAGTTATAGTATGGTTAATCAGTTTGTATAGTTATAGAATGGTTAATCAGATTGTACAGTTACAGCATGGTTAATCAGTTTGTATGGTTATAACACGATTAATCAGTTTGTATGGTTATAGCAGGGTTAATCAGTTTGTATGGTTACAGCATGGTTAATAAGTTTGTATGGTTATGGCATGGTTAATAAGTTTGTATGGGTGTAACATGGTTAATCAGTTTGTATGGGTGTAGCATGATTAATCAGTTTGTGTAGTTACAGCATGGTTAATCAGTTTGTATAGTTATAGTATGGTTAATCAGTTTGTATAGTTATAGTATGGTTAATCAGTTTGTATGGTTATAGTATGGTTAATCAGTTTGTATAGTTATAGAATGGTTAATCAGATTGTACAGCTACAGCATGGTTAATCAGTTTGTATGGTTATAACACGATTAATCAGTTTATATGGTTATAGCAGGGTTAATCAGTTTGTATGGTTACAGCATGGTTAATAAGTTTGTATGGTTAGGGCATGGTTAATAAGTTTGTATGGGTGTAACATGGTTAATCAGTTTGTATAGTTATAGTATGGTTAATCAGTTTGTATGGTTATAGTATGGTTAAAGAGTTTGTATAGTTATAGAATGGTTAATCAGATTGTACAGTTACAGCATGGTTAATCAGTTTGTATGGTTATAGCAGGGTTAATAAGTTTGTATGGTTACAGCATGGTTAATAAGTTTGTATGGTTATGGCATGGTTAATAAGTTTGTATGGGTGTAACATGGTTAATCAGTTTGTATAGTTATAGTATGGTTAATCAGTTTGTATGGTTATAGTATGGTTAATCAGTTTGTATAGTTATAGAATGGTTAATCAGATTGTACAGTTACAGCATGGTTAATCAGTTTGTATGGTTATAACAGGATTAATCAGTTTGTATGGTTATAGCATGGTTAATAAGTTTGTATGGTTATGGCATGGTTAATAAGTTTGTATGGGTGTAACATGGTTAATCAGTTTGTATGGGTGTAGCATGGTTAATCAGTTTGTATGGGTGTAGCATGGTTAATCTGAATGCATGGTGGTAGCATAGTGAATTGGTTTACAAAAATATGGTTGTTCACTTGAACACCACTGGTTAATAACTTTATATGGTTGTACCCTTGAACATCACTGGTTAATAGTTAATGCAGTTTTGACATGGTCCACCAACTTACATTGTTCATTAGTTTACATTGTTAAAGGCTATTTAATCAGTTGATGTGATTATAGCATGATTTATAAGACTTTAGAATTAGACTTTAAAAATTTAGTTTGAATTGAGATGAAAAAGATCTATGGAGTAAACCAGCTTGAGAATTTCTATCGATTTCTCCGAGAGAGGCAAGATTTCCTGTCCAAAATTAGAAACAATAGAGTAATGAAAATAGCATCAATATTTAAGAACCTTACTGAGTTCCCAGTGAACCAGAGACAACCGAGACAGAGAATATTCAGGAGTTATTTATGAGTTGTAATTGTTTTTGGTGTAAAACGATACTGCCATCAAGAGTATATCTTGTATCAATGATCTCACTGAGGCAGACTGATAATTCTTTAGGGTGTTCTGGAGGCCTACTCTGCTGACGTAATATATTTAAAGGTGTCTTCAGGGAAGACAGTGCTGGTGAATGTCAAGAGTCATGGTAACACAAATCGTATTAGGAAATCTATAATCATACATTATTCCAAAATACACTGGGACCCAGTCTGTACTGAATAACCCCAAATAATTTCTGGCTCTGATTCAACTTTCCAAGTCATGATTTTTTAAACACAGAAACCTGAAGTAATTATGGGAACTGTCGTTGAAGAGTTTTGTAGAATTACACAAGGTATTCCTATTGGGACATCAGTGCGTCTGAATATAAAGTCATTCCAACAAGGATTTAACTTTATATATAATGTACCCCATGCCAGTATCCAACCCCCACCCACCCACCAAACCTCCAACCACCCTAAAACAAATACTCTGAAAAAACAAATCTAAATGATCTTTACACAGGAAATAGAGTTATGATAATTGAAATCGTGGTAAACAATTTATATTAGCAACAGCAACTGAAAAATTTTTAAGAAAAATAAATTGGAAATAGCACATTATTGCATGATTTTAGATATTCATTAGAAGCTTCATTCCTGAAATAAGAAATGCCATCCTACAGTTTTCTGATTATCTCCCCTTGTTTGACAATTAGACCGACTACAACAAATTAGGACTGTGTCCAAAATTCTCTATTCTATATAAAACTCAATAACAGTGCATCAGTATACAAAGTACATCTTTAGCCAATCCTACAGTTGTGTGTTCCAGCAATGGTATTTTCTTGTCTATTTCTTGGCCAGAATTAGACATTTACAGATACCAAGAGTTTATCTAGATACACTTACATACAAAAAGTACACAACATGTTCTCCAATACTGGGAGTGTACTATACATTCAGATGAAAGCCAGAAAAGATCCCTACATTTTACAAACATCCACATGTCACACAGACTTATTATAATAATTAAACAGCTAGATGTAGGTTCGCAGAGTTGAAGACCCTGGTTGGTTTGCAAGCATTGAAACCGTAGTTGGTTTGCCAGGGCTGACCCCAATTTGGAACTCAGGCAAGCCTGGTTTAACAATCATCACAACCCTTAATATCATTCATTTCTTGTCCACCTTGAGGATGTAGAACCACGTCTACAGCTGTGACATATCGCCACTCATTTCTTGTCCACCTTGAGGATGTAGAACCACGTCTACAGCTGTGACATATCGCCACTCATTTCTTGTCCACCTTGAGGATGTAGAACCACGTCTACGGCTGTGACATATCACCACTCATTTCTTGTCCACCTTGAGGATGTAGAACCATGTCTACAGCTGTGACATATCGCCACTCATTTCTTGTCCACCTTGAGGATGTAGAACCACGTCTACAGCTGTGACATATCACCACTCATTTCTTGTCCACCTTGAGGATGTAGAACCACATCTACAGCTGTGACATATCGCCAGTGGATACATTTAACCTCCATTTTCATCATTTGCCAGACAAGGTTGTACATCTCTGTAAAGTTGCTAAGAAGTTGAATTTTTGACAGTTTCTCAAGAGTTTAAACTGCATATATGTTGGCTGTACAGAGTGGCAGTAATCCTAATGTATTTGCATGAGGCATATTGTCATGTCATGAAATCAAAATATCCTGTATTGTCCTGCCTTGGGGAACAACACAAAACTTGCACAACAAAAGGGGTTGGCTTCCTACGAGACAAATAGCGTTTCTTTGCTTAGTTACTGAACTGCAATAGACCTGTGGGTTAACATTAGTGATAAGCTTATTGATAGACGTATATATACAATAATAAATGATAAGTTTTATTATTGTTTATAAGGAGACTCCACCCTACATAATACACAAGTAATGTTTGCACACATGGTGATGTAACTGCCTATTTGTGTACTCAGCATTTTGAAATGGGGTGTAAATTAAGTGTTGTGTAATAGAGAGCTCTTTCGTATTAAGGATATGACAAGTATGTTGCGTTGTCAACAATGGTAGAGAGAGATGAGAGACAGATAACGCCTTCTGAAAGCGATATTAACACAAGTAGAATTCTAGTAGCTGTCATGACCATTCCGATTCAAAACTAACAAAGTCAGTAAATGATATTGACACAAGGTCACACGTCAGTAGTGACTTGGTGGTGATGAAAGTGAGATGCAATTTGACGTCAGTAGTGACTTGGTAGTGATGAAAGTGAGACGCAATTTGACGTCAGTAGTGACTTGGTAGTGATGAAAGTGAGATGCAATTTGACGTCAGTAGTGACTTGGTAGTGATGAAAGTGAGACGCGATTTGACGTCAGTAGTGACTTGGTAGTGATGAAAGTGTGACGCAATTTGACGTCAGTAGTGACTTGGTAGTGATGAAAGTGAGATGCAATTTGACGTCAGTAGTGACTTGGTAGTGATGAAAGTGAGACGCGATTTGACGTCAGTAGTGACTTGGTAGTGATGAAAGTGTGACACAGTTTGACGTCAGTAGTGACTTGGTAGTGCTGAAAGTGAGATGCTATTTGACGTCAGTAGTGACTTGGTAGTGATGAAAGTGAGACGCAATTTGACGTCAGTAGTGACTTGGTAGTGATGAAAGTGAGATGCAATTTGACGTCAGTAGTGACTTGGTAGTGATGAAAGTGAGACGCGATTTGACGTCAGTAGTGACTTGGTAGTGATGAAAGTGTGACACAGTTTGACGTCAGTAGTGACTTGGTAGTGATGAAAGTGAGATGCG